GAGGTCTCACCAAGTTACCCAGGTGGGTCTCGAACCCGCAGGCTCAGGCAATCCACTCACTTCAGCCTCCCAAGGCACGGGATTACAGGCTGAGCCACCGAGCCTGGCGACACAGAGTAATTTAACTCCAAAAATGTTTAATGTTATCAGGAGGAGAGAATTCAAAACAAATAGGCTTCACCTTGGAAAAAACACTCCGCTTCCTTTTCTACAGAAGTGCCAAGATAGATACTACTAACCAAATTATGTATTATTATATCTATATATTATATTCATAGCTGTTTTCTATACTGTATTTCAGCCATGACTGCCAAAGATAATCCCTCATTATGGGGCTTTGGAACAACAAAAACATTTAGCATTCCTGTTGAGCATTTGGATTTCAAGTATATTGAAAAATGTTCAGATGTTAAACACTTGGAAAAAATTCTTTGTGTGCTCAGGTAAGCATTTAAAAATCATTTCATGTTTCAGTCTTCCAATTTTAATCATCTTGTTTTCTAAATGGAAGCTACATTAGAAATATTGGAGAAAATTTTCAAATGTTGAGATTGTTGTTTTGCCCACACACAGTAGGTTCCAAAATAGTGGTTTTGATCCCATGGTAAGTCTGGAAAGTTCTGGCTAGGTCTACTTCCAGCATGAGACTCAAACTAACTAGTATCCAAGATAACATTTTTCTTATTTCCTCCACATTTTCTTTTCTTTTTTTTTCTTTTGAATTGGAGTCTTACTCTGTTGCCCAGGCTGGTGGCATGCTCATGGCAACCACAGCCTCAGCCTGCTGGGCTCAGGCAATCCTTCTGCCTCAGCCTTTCAAGTAGATGGAACTACAGGCACGTGCCTGGCTAATTTTTTGATTTATTGTAAAGATGAGGTCTTGGCAAGTGGCCCAGGCTGGTCTCAAACCTGTGAACTCAAGACTATCCTCTCACCTCAGACTCCCAAAGTGCTGGGATTATAGGTGTGAATCACCACGCCTGGCTGTTCCTTCATATTTTCTAGAAGGTGAAGTAGCTATGAAAGTTGCTATTATGGCTGGGTGTGGTGGCTCACTCTTACAATTCCAGCACTTTGGGAGGCCAAGGTGAGAGCATTGCTTGAGCCCAGGAGTTCAAGACCAGCCTGGGCAACATAGCAAGACCTCGTATCTTAAAAAAAAAAAGCCGCCATTAGGAAGTAAGGTTATCTCACCAGCCTAGGCTGATAAAGTTCTTAGGCACTTTCCTACTTCATATCTATCCTCTGACAACAAAGATGGGTGACTCACTGCAAGATGATCATGGAGAATGGTCCGGAGGACTGAAGGTAATATTAGAAGGTGGGGAATTAGGGCCTTTTCAGGGTAGACCTCCATGGTGGCAATTGCCAAATTTTAATATATACCACATGTGGTTTTGGGGGGGTTTTTTGAGTCGGAGTCTTACTGTTGCCCAGGATGGAATGCAGTGGCACTCTCATGGTCACTGCAGCTTTGACATGCTGAGCTCAGGCGATCCTTCCACCTTAGCCTTCCAAGTAGCTGGAACTTCAGGCATGCCCCACCATGCCCGGCTACTTTTTTGAGTTATTGTAGAGAAGAGGTCTCTCCAAGTTGCCCAGGCTGGTCTCGAACCTGTGGGCTCAGGCAATCCTCCCACCTTGGCCCCCCAAAGTGCAGGGAGTCATGAGCCACTGCTCCCAGCAGCATGTGGTTGTTAAAAATGCAAATTTGAGGGCCACATACCCAGAGATTCTGTTTCAGGAAATCGGGG